ACATAGAAAAAACTATTTTTTTAATTTTACTTTATAACTCCTCCTTGGACTTTTTCCTTTAAATTGGAGAAAATAGATTTATGTACATCTTCTCACCTTTTCTTAGATAAGTGAAGGCGCACTATTCACATTTTTTTTCCTCTTGCTTTTTGTTTACTGAAATTACTCCACTATAGTATGCAGAGATATTTCTCATTTTTTTGTAGCTGAATACTCTAATATACCAAAGTTTATTTGACTATTTTCCTGTTGATAGACATAAGTTCTATTTCTAATCTTATGCTATTACAAATAATGCTAAAATCAATAGATTTGGTCATATGTTTTTCTGTATAGGTACGCATTTAAATAATATACAATATTACAGCCATACAAATAGTCTTACATTATACATCTTTAGTTAATATATTATAGTACAAAATTTTAGCTGAGCTTACCATGTCAGTAATGTAGATAATATCACCTTCCTCAAAGTATAATTCATCTGGCTAAAAGAAAAAAAATTTAAAGTTTGACTCCATGTGGTATCTTCATGAATTAGAATACAATGATTATGATAATTATATAGATTCCAAATGGTAAAGCATCCTTATAGAAAATGTGGTTTTAAACCAGCACATAAACCATTTAACAAAACATTATTGACAAATTAACACATATATAGAAGGCTAAATGTTTCCCAAACGAATTTCAAGGAATTATTTATATAACAAATAAGGATTCCCCCCACACCCCCTACCACCACACACACCCCTTATATTCTTCCACAATGAAAGCTGGGAATTTTTATATCAAAATAGAATATTAATAAAACTTCTTTCTGGCAGGAATTCCAAAGGTGCTATATATATTTGTTCATAAAAGGGTAAATGTCTAGAGTTAAAACCATGAAAAATAACTAGAAGCTTGGCTCTCTCCTAAATGATTAGGTGTCAATTCTTAAACACTTTCATATCAATATCTGCTATCTGCTTATTTTGAGAAAACCATTACGTTCAGAAAGAATGAGCATTTTATAAGTGAGAATAACTAATTCTCACTTATAATTCAACATTTAATAAGGCTATAGAGCTGAAAGATATGAAGCAGTAACTCAGACAGTCCAGACCATAAGCAGCTCTAAGGGGTTACATTCTTACAGTCAGTATGTGCACTGGCCTGTACCACCCAAAGGTCCAACAAACTCTCTGAATAAAGCCAAGCACTTTAATTAAACAGCTTCTTTTTCACATCAGTAGATAACACTTATCAGCATGGCCTTATAAGTAAATAGGATGATGTCTATTTAGAGTGAGTTTCAGGTATTGAGAAATGTTTATGTTGTCATGATGAGTGAAAAACATACAGCACAAAATTTCCCACAGGATAAGATCACAATAATGCAAGAAATATGTATAGAAAATTTTCAAAATTTTATTACTTACATAATTTTAGTTGGAAAAATGCTTTTTTTAATAGGAGGCTTTGGTATTTCTGATTATAGCTATTGTTCCATACAAATAAATATTATGCTAGTGAAACAAATTATTTCATCCATTTATTTTTCCATTTGTTTATCTCCTCTCTCAGTCATGAACTAGGGTAGTAAATATTACTCTGCACTAGTAATTTATTTATTGGCAAAGCTGATCTATATTAAAACTATTTCCCCCTGAATATAAATGAAGACTGCATCAGCTATATCATGCTTAAACAACCACAATACATGAATATTTAGATGCATTATAAATGCAAATATAAAAAATAGCAAATGATAATTAATGATACCAAAAAAAAAATGGCTGAGCTCCTTTAAAAGGCAACTTCCTGAAGCATTTGTTGCATTTACATTTTGTTTGATTTACATTTTGATTACATTAGAGACTGGGCTTACACATAGCTCAAGCTATGCAAAGTTATCTGAACCAATGAAGACTCAATGACATACTTTTTAATATTATTTGAAATAGGCATTTAGGAGGAAAAAAGTTAAGTCCTCTAAGGTTTTCTCTAATCAGTCTCTAAAACGTTCTGATGATCTATAATCAACATGACTACCAGTATGTGATGGCTATAGAAAATGATTAAAGACACTATTTCCTTTCCTATTTCCCTGTTGCGAACTGGATCATTCTCAGAGAGGCCAGAAAGGGGACTCGCTTACTACATTAGATAGCATCCCAGCTAGACACAGAAGCCATCTCCGTAACAGTAAGTTCAGCTTTCACTGGCAATTTTAACACCCTTTGACTATCTCTCCTTTAGATGACAGTAGGGATAGGAGGGGAGAATGAAGTAGGATGTAAGGAAGTATGGAAAATAGAATATATGTTAAAACTAAGCATTATTCTAAAATGACTCTAAGTTTCCTGGAGTTTTAAAAGAGCTCAATGCCTTCAAGAGATCTTTCTGGTCTTACAGCCATCCTGGGCCATTCTTATTCTGTACTTTTATAAAAGCTAACCCTGCCCACTTATGTCTAACAATAAATTCACTTATGTCTGACAATAAATCCTCCTCAATCAGTGCTTTCATCGAAGTCATCTCTGCCTACAAGTTTTGGTCTACTTCTAAAATCACAGAAATCAAGTCTACCTAAAATTTCTCATTTAATAATATCATTCACCCTTGAAATCAAAAGGCAAATTTTGAAAAAGTATTGAACAAATAACTCAGAAAAACAAAGCACCCACACACAAAAACCTATGATTTGTCTTTCTCATAAAGAAAAAAAAAAGGAAGAATGGGAAGTTAGTGCTTAATGGATTTGGGGTTTTCTTCTGGGGTGACAAAAACGTTTTGGAACTAGATAGAGGTGGTGGCTGACAACATTGTGAATGCACTAAATGCCACTGAATTGTTTACTTTAAAGTGGTTAATTTTATGTTATGTGACTTTTACTTCAATTTTTTAAAGGGCAATAAAAGCCAAGAACAGTTAAATCTCTTAATATAAGTAATTCTTGTCCTGCATGGTTTGGTAAAGGTCATCATTTGGAAAATGTCACTAAGTATGATCATTTTGGTACTTCTTACTCCTGTTTCAGTTTTTTAATTAATGTCTGCTATTCAATAGTGCCACAAGCCACCATTAGGTCAGACTTGTTTTTCAACTGAGGCAACAAGAACAGGCGGTTGATCTCAGTAAGGTCTCACTATTTTTTCATCCCGAGAAGAGAGAATGGACTGTTTATTCTCTTTTTATTCAATAGCTCCCAAATACACTATGCCACTTACTACCCATAAAATATTTTCTTCCAAAGAAACTAAGGGCAGTTTTTCCTATACTAGCTCAGGAGGTGGCCTACAAAGTTCTTCAAACTATTGCTAACAGTAGAGACAACAAGGTAATTATTTTCTTCCAAAGAAACTAAGGGCAGTTTTTCCTAAACTAGCTCAGGAGGTGGTCTACAAAGTTCTTCAAACTATTGCTAACAGTATAGACAACAAGGTAATTTCATGATTTTTAAAGCATAGATTTTTGTCTACAATATTCACTCTTTTTTAAGAAACCACTTGCAGGAAATTTAATGTAAATTGTTTGATGAAGATCTACTTTGAAATTCCTGGCATCATATTCATGGAACAGAAATGAGAAGATAGTGACACAATCAAGTAAGCATTTCTCTATTTCCAGCTTGTTCTTTGGATTTTAACCACATTCCTCCTTTCCTCTCTCCTTGAAGAACCACAAGGTATCAGAACAAGTAAATTGTTAGCCACTGGGATGTTACAGAGATGAGTACAAACTTGGTAATGTACATTCTCATTCTTGTTCTATATATTCTTGGTAACATGTAATTCCCAAAGCATTAATTTAGTTGGTTTACGCAAATATATATTTTATTTAAAAAAATTAGAAAGACTACGAAATACTTATGAAATTTTTCAGATTTATCAACCTAGAGCCCCAAAAATTAGTTTTAAAAAATCAAATTCTCCATAGACGTTTTTATTTAACATTTTACAGTATCATTATGTCCCAGGCATTGGTCTGAATACTTACAAATATTGAAGAATTTAAGCCTCACTGGCAACATTATGAGGTGGGTGCTACCCTTAATCAACACATTTATAGATGAGAAACTTATCTAAGGCCATCAACCTGGTATGTGGTAGACCCTAGACTGGTACCACGGCAGTCGGATTCTGGAGCCCCTGTTCTTCACCATACAGAGAGTCATACAGAAGGTCATGCACAGCCATTATTAGTCAATATGGTAACATGACCTGGTTAAAAGGCGATGGCCATGGAAAATATCTGTTGTTTCTTCCCCACCCCAACCCCACATAATGCATTACAACAAAACCAACAGCAGCACCTTATACTTGCAAAGTATATTTAACATCATTTGATCTTCACAACAACCCAGGGCTGGGTCATGAATATAATCTGCATTTCACAACCAGGCTTACAGAGAGGGTGAAGAACTTGTCACAAATCACAGCGGGTATGTGGCAAAGCAGGGCTCCTACTTCAGCTGGAATCCCATTCTAGGGTTCCTTGCTCCATACTTAGTGCTACAAACCTAGTGAAGTCCAGCACACATTACATGATAGAGCAGGGTCCTGCTGGTTTCTCTTTAAAAATCAATGCTACACCTGTAGAACACAGGGAACGCCAGCCATTCTTTCTCTATCAGTGTGTCTTTACACTGGTCTATCCAGTCCAGCCAGGTCTCTCACTGACACCTTATTGGATTGGGTTTGGGTGAGAAATAAAAAACAAACAGGGCTGGGTGGTGCCAGGACTACTTTGCCTTCAAATGAGACAGAGGAGAAATGTGTTAGCAGGGAGAACCAGGAGCCACAAGCTGCCCAGTATTCTTCCTGTTCAGTGGATTACCAACTGTGGAATTGGGCATTGCTGTCTCTATCTCCTGAGGGTGGAATAGTAGCTGAAAACTAGACCCAGGCCTCCCTGGGGTGCTGCGCATATCAGCAATGGTCCCACAGGGTCCAACTCAGCTGTTCCATTTTACCTGGTCCCAATGACTTTAAGGAGGCCAGGTCACTTTAGGATGTAGTCTGATACATTTATCCTACCAGGAGAGAAAGACCAAACTGAGCTTCCATTATTTTCCAACAGATATTCTCATTTAGAAAAAGAATGAAAAACTAACCTAGTTCTGGGATGATATTCAAAATATTGAACAGCTGGTACCAGCATGGGCAGTTAACCAGTGAGGAAGGCCTATGGGAGGTAGAGGCTACCTTTAATGTCTGGATTGAGGGGAGGCAGAAAGGGGCAGAGTATGAGTGGGGGCAGCGTGTGTGGAGTAGTCATTACTGAACATCCAACACATTCATGATAATAACGGCATTGCTCTGCATCCTAGGATCCTTGGAGCCAGGGATATTAAAAAATTCAATAACATTTTAAATACAGGATATTAAAAAAAAATCCAATAAATAAATGTCTATTTTCTCCCATGCATTCAATAATAACTAAGATAAAAAGCAGTGGAGAGACTCCACCTGGAGCAGAACTGAAGGCGAATTAAAGTAATTAATGCATCAACCAATCAAAAATATTTGTTAAAGGTCCTGGAGAATCAAAGGAGAAAGAGGAGGTCAGTAAGAAAGGACAAAGATGATGATAAACAGGACACTAGGGAAGGGGGCTTGGATAAAGCGTCAAGTCACCTCAGGTCTCAACTGAGTAAATGTAGGTCCCTTTCTAGAGGTAGGGAGGCAGCAGAAAATGGTCTATTGATAGACCAGCCCAGGGGAAGAGCTGATGATCACACTTCCCTTTTCCCACTCCTATCAGCCTCAGGGGTTAAAATAACCTGAGAAACAAATGATTTGGACAATGAGAGTCATAAATACTCCTCCCATCATCAGGAGACAAAGACAACAGTGTCTGGGTCTCAAACTTCCTTACCTTTTGTGTCCCCCCAAAATTCATATGTTGAAGTCCTAACCCTCGAGTACCTCAGAATGTGACAGTATTTGGAAACAGAGTCTTTAAAGAGGAAATTAAGTTAAAAGGAGGTCATTAGAGTAGGCCTTCATCCAATCTGTCTGGTGTCCTTTTAAGAAGAGATTAGAACACAGATGAGTACAGAGGAAACACCATGTTGAAGACACAAGGAGAAAGACAGTCATCTACAAGCCAAGGAGAAAAGCCTCAAAAGAATCCAACCCTGCTGACACCTTGATCTCATACTCCTAGCCGCCAGAATTCTGAGAAAATAAATTTCTGTTGATCAAGCTACACAGTCTGCAGTACTCTGTTACAGCAGCCGTAGCAGACTAACACACTGCCCATTCCCCACACTCAACAACACAGGAGTGAGATGTCACTGGAACCTCTTCGTGAGAAGAATAAAAAGCTGAGACTTACCTCTGATTACCAAATCTCTTTCTTGTCCCAGAAATATTGTATTTACAAAGTCTTGGGAGAGCTCATCTGAACGTGCTCTTTCTCCATACTAGCTGTTGCCTGCTGCCATTTAGTGGCACCATCTCACTTCATGCTCACAAAAATGTTCTGCTGTAGGATGGCTAACATTACTCCTGTTTTCAAATATAGGGAAATGATGGCCACGAGGCTAAGTAAATGCACAGAGTGAGTAAATGACAGATTTAGGGTTTGAATGCTGGCCCTGGCCTGATAGCAGTGAATCAATGCTCAGGGCCACTTGTTCGAGGGACCGCACAGCCCAAGGCAAACCCAGACGAAGTCAGCAGCAGGCCAGCTGCCCACACCTCAAGTGTGTAATAGAGAAAAGTCAATTAGAATGGGTTTCTTTCTCCTCTGCCTCCTGTTTGGACTCCCTGATTCCATTCTTATTCTCCTAGATGGGTGTCCACACCTCAGGTAGAATGGTTCTTCTAAAACTTAACTACCCAATCGCTCTTGTACTCAAAACCTTCCAACTGCTTCTCATCTTACGCAGGGAAAAATCCAAATGAACCCAAAAATCCCTATATGACCCAGCCTTGCTAAACTACCTCTCTCTCCCTTGTTCATGACTTTCCTAGCTTCGCTGTCCTCCCTGCTATTTTTAGAACCCACCAAGCATTCTCTTTACACCTGCTGTTTCTTCTGCTCTTTCACTTTCTTCAGGTCTCTACTCAAATGTGACCTTTACAGAAAGGTCATCCATAAACACTCTATCAAAAATAACATTCTTCCTCCTTTAATTAATCTCATTGCCCCTCACTCTCCTTATTTTTCTTCATAGCACTTACCAGTCCCTGACAGTCACACCCATTTGTCCACTTACTGTCTGTCTCTCCCCATTGGGATTGTGAGCTCCGTGAGACCGTCCTTTCTGTTGTCACTGCACTATCCCCAAGGCTTGGACCACTGTCTGGCACATTATAAGTGCTCTCTAAACCATGGGTGGATGGGTAAATTTATGGATGGACGCCAGAAACTATAACAGCGGAAAATGAATACAGCAGAGACAAAAAAAAACTGCTCTGGGTGGTTGGCAGGTGCCATCATAATGTAATTTGAGGTAGCGGGTCAAGGGGAAGATCAGGGAAGGTTACCATGAGAATTAGTGGAAGGATGACTAAGACAACGTTATATGCAAGTCACTTGGTGACTTTAAAGCAGGTGGTGTCACCGCATGGAGAGAAGCGGCACAGGATAGACAACAGGACCACCAGATGAAAGGACATGCAGATCAACCAAAGGGCTGAGCTTTTACACCTCTGGACTACAGTAGGAAGTGACTGAACATCCATGTCTGTGAAGTACTTAGGGCTATTAAAGAAAAGGCAGAACATTTAGGCCAGAGAAAAAAATCTTAGCTTTTTATGACAATTTTAAAGTTAAAAACTGAATACTTACAGTTCTGGGTTCAAATGTATAAAGAGCTCTGAACACTCTAACTTGCCCTAAAAGAGAGGAAAAAAGAATACATAATCAATTCTTTCATTTCTAAATTTGCTCTAAATATTATCATCCATTATATTCTTCAGAATTCCCCAAGTAAAAGCCTATGTGAGAAATTTATTTGGGGATTAAGTGCTTTTTCTGCATAAGAGGTATTTTTAAAATATTTGTTCAATGAAAGCATGAATACACACACACATCAGTGGTGATTTTGCTCCCCCCTCTCAAACAATAGTAGCTATATAATTTTTTGTGCTTACCTTCTGTCTTAAATAGAGCCCTTCCAACCCTAATATCTAAGTCTAAAAATGGAAAGGTGAGCATTTAACATAGATACTTAATATGACAACTGACAGTGGCTTAATATTCTTAAATCGATGATTTAAGATTTTATATTTTTTTCCACAGAAAAGAAAATACCATTGAGAAAAACAGCACTGTTGGAGAAATCTGTGATTCTATTAAGTCCTAAAACAGAATGCAATAGCTAAGCAAAGAGGAGGTCATATTTATGAGAGCTGTCTTCCGTTCTGCCAAACAATATCTTTTTTTATGCCTCTCTGCTGCGTTTCCATAACACCCCACATCAGAATAACTGATTTGCTGGCCTGTCTCATTCGAAGGCAGGAACCATGACTTTTTCAATTTCCCAGCACCTACCTAACATATACGTAGTATGAACTTAATAAATGCTTGCTAAGTGAATATGTAAGTAAAAGAACAAATTCAGACAGTGTAGGAAAAAGCCTATAAATAGCAACAAAAAAAAAGATCTTTTTATGAAATAGATTCAGAAGGGATAAAAAAGAGGACGACCTACTTAAAATGTGGTTACAGTTCAGATCTGCCTAGTGCAAGAGCCTCATGCAGAACAGTGGCTTCCAAGGTAGAACACAGGAAAACTACTGCAGAAATTATGCACACTTTTATCTTATTTTTCTTCCTATTTTAACATGTTTTATAATAGCATAATAGAATAACACACAAGCTATAAATATATATACATTTTTGGGAGTACTCAAAACCTTTTGCTGATAGAATGCAGGTGTTTTTGTTTTATGAATGAGATATCCAAGTACCTGCTAGCACAGTGCCTAGAACATGGGAGTATTCAATAATTACTTGTTGAATGAACAAGGAATGGATGAATAAAGAAATAGAAACATACTCAAAAAAAGTCTGAAAACCAGTCGAGTAAAACAACAGTGTCCAATAGGACTTTACGTAATGATGAAAACGGTCTACATCTGTGCTAGTCGCATACAGCTACTGAGCACCTGAAGTGTGATGTGAGGGACTGAGGAATGACCTGTAAACAGTACTTAATTCAAAGTGAAATTGCCACATGTGGCTGGTGGCTAGCATATTGAACAACATCGGAAAACGGGAAATGATGTAATGTCCCTTAGAAATCAAGTGACTCATCCATGTGATAGAGTCATTAAAAAAGAACATTGCAGCTCTTCCCAAAGCTGCCCAGGTTGACTTCTCAAAATGGTTTGCTATTCACTTGACCCAGAAAACCCCACACTCATGCAAATCAAGAAGTTCAAATCTTCAGATCCATTTCATGAAACTGCCGAGGCCATCAAGAGGTACACACATCCTAAAAGCCACCAAGTATCTGAAGGATGTCACTTTAAAGAAGCAATATGTGCCATTCCATCATTACAGTGGTGGAGCTGGGAGGTGTGACCCAAACAATGGGCTGGACGCAGGGTCAGTGGCCCAAAAAAAGAGTGCTGAATTTTTGCTACACATGCTTAAAAATGCGGAGAGTAAGGGTGAACATAAGGGTTTCAATGGAGATTCTCTGGTCAATGAGCACATCCAGGGGAACAAAGCCCCCAAGATGTGGCACAGAACTTACAGAGCTCATGGGTGGAGTGACCCATGTGTGAGCTCCCCCTGCCACACTGAGATGACTCCCTGCTGAAAAAGAGCAGCTTGTTCCTAAACCAGAAGAGGGGGTTCCACAGGAGAAAAAGATATCCCAAAGAAACTGAAGAAACAAAACCTTATGGGCTGGAAGTAAATGCAGCATTAAATAAATGCTAATAAAGTTGAGAGAGAGAAAGAGAGAGAGGGGGGGGGGGAGAGGGAGAGAGGGAGAGGGAGGATACTGGCATAGTGAAGAGCCTACAAAGCAAAAACATTCAGTGAAAAAAAGCAGGTTATAGAACAGTATGCCAAGTACCATCCCATTTATGTTGACAACACACACACACACACACACACACACACACACACACACACACAATCTTAAATGACAGCACCAATTATGGGGAAACTTCACATTCTACTTTACATGTATTCTCTATATTCATTACACTGAGAATGTATTACTTTTATGACCAATGAAAACAATAAAAGTACTTTCATGGGGGTAGGGGGGGCATTATTTCTTCTAAAATGTCCTGATACAGAAGAGCAGCTCAGATCCCATCCCTGTTGTTGGTGTGTCTGCAAGAAAACATGATTTTTGCAATATGAATTCTAGTGCCACTTCTTTTCTGTTCTACCTAGGGAAGTTAACAAGCTGAAGAAAAGGTGAAATTTTTTTGTTTGGAGTTTATTTTTTACCCTCACCCACAGGCCTGAGAAAGGAAATATCAAGCGGAAGGAGGAGTTGCCAGGAGAGTATTTTCTGCTGATTAGATTGGCTCTCTCTGAGAGGGGAGACTATCTTGATTACTTCCAAACTTTCCAACAAGAATTTATACAGGAAGCAGTCAACTCGTGACCAAAATCAATACTGACAGAACTTTCTTTTTCCTTTGAGGGAATTTTGGAAACAAGATCCAATGTCAAGTTAATAAGCGTAAATAAAATTCAGTATAAAGAATTTGAAAAAAATACCTGGAGTGTGACAAAGCTGCTGGTTTTTGTAATTATATCTTCTGTGATTGTCTTTTTTAAAATGTTCACAACTAAAAGGAAGTGGGAGATTTACTTGCATTTTGATAAACACTTGAATGTCAGGCAACTCTTTAGGCTGTTATACAAAGGAACATTCTCTTTGTTTAACGCTGTAGAAATACTTCCACACACACAATCCTATTTATCAATTAATGTTGGGACATTACCCTCTTGTGGATCCCTTTTACTCTCTATATTATAAAAGTCTGGGCTTAAATTTATTCCATTCTCAAAACTAAGTCAAGTAGAAATGAAAGAATACAAAAGGAACAACCAGAGGATATGAAAGAACTGCATTTAAAAAAAATACAAAAAAAAAAACAAAACCAGATGACTTTCATGTTTACAGTTTACCAACCGTGGATAGTCTCTCAAAAGAATAATGTTTAATAATACTTAATACACTGGTCATTTTCAACTCTATTGTGAGTGATGTTCTAAAAGTATACAAGAAATCAAGATACTCTGTTTCTACAGTATTGTCCTTGCAGACATCTAAAAAAATAATAATAAACATATTAATAAATCATCAAGGGCAGACACTGATCAATTCCAAATTTATTTAAAGAAGGCAGATTCACAAATTTAAACTAGTCATGTTCTTGCATATGCAGGGGAGGCTAACTTAGATGCCTTCTTCAGGCACCATCCATCTTGATCATTTTCTCATGGAAGTCTGGTTATACATAACAAAGAGAGAAAAGTAGAGCTAAGAAGACTGAGTGAATTACCTGAAATCACCTTGGAATTCACCCTGAATTAAGTTTGGAAAGAGGCCCAATCTTTTGTCTGATGCTTTATGTGGAACTCACATGAACTAGCATGTGAATGGTATTAAGGATTTCAGTAGAACTGGCTTCCTGATGTAAACAAGGTAAGTAAATTCCCATTACACCCCAAGCAGCTGGTCCCTGCTGCCTTTTCACTGTGCTGGCTCCTCGCCTTGCCAGTCACACCCTTTCCATTTCTCTGCAACCTCACCCTGCCCCTGTAGAGAAGTCCTCTGTAGTCAGTCATCAGCCAAACACTATTTGCCTTTGGAGTTGGGCTCACCCCATACATCAATAAACTATTTGTCCACAGCAGCTGAGGCAGCTAGAAGGAAGGGGTTTTTAGACTGGGCCTGGTACATGCGAAGGGTAAAAGAATTTGGTTTCTGAGGTTTGCAAACAGAGTATGGATTGCTATACCTCTAAGGCCCTGAAATAGCACCCAGATGAACTTGCAGCTTACAGACTCAAACATAAAATTTCTAACCTACTTAATTCTCTGTTGGGGAAGGAGTGGAAGAGAAGCTTCTAGAGTCAGCCACTAAGACAGCATTAAAAAAGCACTTCTCACTATAATGGACAGACATAGAATATACAGATAGAGAAATGACTTTTCGAATATCAGACCCTTAGCTGTCTATAACAGACCAATTATTTCATTTATGTTCTGCTTAAGAACTCAGGAAGCATGAGACATTTAGGACTTCATTTAAAATGACTATAACTACTACATACGTACTATGATGGCTGCATCTAAAAATACTGACAATGCTAAGTGTTAAGAAACATATAGAACAACCAAGCAGAACTCTCAGACACCACCAGTGGGCATGTAAACTGGTACAACCATTACTGAAAATCATTTAGCAGTAGCATTAATTCATTTTTTATCTGTCTTACCATGCCGTTGAGATCTTAAATTTCATTCTGGGGGAAGGAACATAACTAGAAAACCTTCCTTGTATCTTTTGTAGGACTAAGATATTACGTATAAAGAGACCCCCTCCGGGACAGTGTCACTGCTCAGTGTCACTGCAGTGTCACTGTAGAGTACACTGAGTCTCAACATTTTTAACATAATTCTTTGACACTATCAACAGCAGCCTGATGAGACTTGTGTGAAACTGAGTAAACATTCTCAAATGAGGTCTGTGCAAAAGAAAAATATTTTGGTGCTAGCTCTGCCAGCTTAGCTGTCGCCTGCGGTGATACTGCCACCAACTTAGTAAGCTTTCCTTCTTCCCTAATAGAAAATGGCTGAGATCAAGACCTACCTCCTCTTCATCTGGGCTTGAAGATTTGCTTAATGCTAA